CCCCGTGCTGCTCCGCCAGGCAGTGGTCTCCCTGGGGACGCCGGTGCGCGCTGAGCTGCTGGGCGCCACCTGGGCCCACAACGCCTCAGTACCACGCAGCCTCCGCCTGGTGCTGGCGCTGCGCCCCCGGGACACGGGCACCTGCGGGCGCTTGGCTGAGGCCTCACTGTTGTTGGTGACCCTTGACCCGCGCCTGTGCCACCCCTTCGCCCGGCCGCGGCGCGAGGCCGAGCCCTCGGTGGGTGGCGGCCACGGGGGCTCCTGTCGCGCCCGGCGGCTCTACGTCAGCTTCCGCGAGGTGGGCTGGCATCGCTGGGTCATTGCGCCGCGCGGTTTCCTGGCCAACTACTGCCAGGGCCAGTGCTCGCTGCCCGCCACGCTGCCCGGGCCCGGGGGGCCGCCCGCGCTCAACCACGCCGTGCTGCGCGCGCTCATGCACTCGGCAGCCCCGGGTCCTGCCGGCCTGCCCTGCTGTGTTCCCGCGCGCCTGTCACCCATCTCCGTGCTCTTCTTCGACAACAGCGACAACGTGGTCCTGCGGCACTACGAGGACATGGTGGTGGACGAGTGCGGCTGCCGCTGACAGACTTCAGGAGCGGGGACACAATAAACACTGGGTGGTTTGAGCTGCTGTCTTTGGGTCTTGTCACCTGGGGCTGGGGGAGTACTGACATCCATCAGGCTGGTGGGGGAAGGGCGGTCTGGAGCCACCGGCCCTCTTAGAAGGTTGTATACAGGGGACCCTGGGAGTCGCCACCCCCCCACCCCCCCACACACTTTCCAGTCTGCTGGCCCAGCCCTTCTCAGCTTTGCCCTTCAGACTGCAGGACCCCAGACCTAAGTGCTCTCCCACCCCCTGTAGCTTATCCAGCTCTGTGACACATGCAAGAGTTGTTTTTAACATTTTATTGGTGACAAAAGAGCTTAAAACAAATTGACCAAAAATCAGAAGTGACATTGCCTTGGTACAGATGCTCCTTGATTTGGAAAACTCAGAGTAATTGCTGCTAGAAGGTGAATAAAAGCCAACAGCACAGAGCGAGGTAGAGCACTCCAAAAAAGGAACAGGGCAGTGGGGGGGGAGGGTGCGCACAGGGTCACAGCAGAAGCCTATCCAAGCGCAATGCCTCTAGGTGGCCTACCAAAAGCCCTACAGCAATGGGCTAAGAGGCCTTGCCAGAAGAAAGGTGCCTGTGTGTCCCTGTCTCTCCGTGTACCAGGTGGCATCTGGAGGTTTTGGGTTAAGGGCCAGTGTCAGACGCATGGGGAAGGGATGCTGGGGTCATGGTCACTAGGACCTGGGTAGGCAGGAAACAGTCCTCAACTTGGTGGTCACCACGGTGACAAACACCTGCCCCCACAGGGGACCTTTCACAACCACAAGAACTTCCACAATGCAGATCCAGCCTGATGCGTCTGTACAGCTGAAGTGATACACTCCCCCAAGCACCTTCAGCACAGAACCAACTTATTTCTGAAACTTCTTTTCCCAAATAAAATGAAAACCACCCCAACTCATTGAAGCTATGCTCACAGGTAGAAGGGCTCAAAATTTGGGAGTGGGGTGGAGAGAAAGGGGGTGGGGGGCAAGGCTCTCGGCTTGTCTGATGGCCACAGGGACCGTGGGCGTCTCCCTGGGGAAGCAGCCGCTGGCTGAGGAACGACCACCTCCCCACCCTCCAGCCTCATGGCTAGTTTTGCTGGGCCCTTCAGGGGACTGAGTCCACTGCATGTGAGAAGTGCCTTGCTTCTCGGAGTCCAGCGGAGCCCGTGGGCCCAGGCGATGTTCTCTCACTGCCCTGACGCACAGGGAGAAGCTGCTGGAAACTAAGCTGAAAACAAAAATCTTCCTCTCCATGATCGCGTCACAGGTGTTCATCCTAACCTCGTTGTGTGGCTCGTTTAAACTTCGTTTCTGGAAGCTTCTTGCATCTCCCAGGTCCACCACTAAGATTTGAGAGACAAACTCAGGAAAGTATTTTTCAGTACTCCTTTGAAAGAATCTTTAAGAAACAAACAGAAAACCCCAAACACCACATTTTCTTTAAATGAAAACCCTCTTAGAACACAGGCAGCGTGACTGCAAGGTCTCAGTGTGGACAGAACACGCGCCTCAGCGGGGCTCTCTAGGCACGGCTGCAAGGAGCCTGTTCAGCACAGAAATGTGAGTTGTTCCTGATAAAACGTAGTCCCCTTTCAATAAAAGAGAAAAAGAAAGAAAGAACAGAGGAAAGGGCTACTCTGAGATGAGGGTCTTCCTCCCTCCTCCTGGTCGCAGACCCAGGTGTAGACGCGGCGAGCTGGGCCTCCTTGGCGAGCTGGCTGCAGGGCTCTCGGGCTGGCCGGCCCCACCTCCGCTCTCCCTCTGTCTCCTCGCCGCGGTGCCAGCAGTGGGCGCTCACTATCTCGGGCTGCTCTCCCTCGGGTGCTCCTCTCCCTCTCCTGTTGCTCACAGTGGTGCTTCAGTTTTAGCAGTGGAAAACAGGTATCCATTTATTTTTATTTTTTATTACCCAGAGTAAGATGCTGATGGACTAAGCCACAAAGCTTAGCTCTTCCGCTGCCACCTGTAGAGAGGGGGAGGGAGAGGGCACAGGCTTTCAGAGAAAGTAGGAGCCCAGCCCTGCCTGGAAGGCAAGGTGCTTTCTCCCTACTTCCACTTAGCACCTATGTTCTCACCTGTAAAATGGGACCTCATGTGCTGGACAGCCCTTAGACCACTGACTCTCCAACCAGAGACAGAAGGCAGTCAAATGCTAAGGCTACAGCCTGTGCTATAACAGTGGCACCCCTTCTCCCAGCAGTACCAGCACACAGCTTTCCTTGGCACACCGACATGGGAACCGCAAGGCATGACTCACAGGCACCTTCTGCAGAAGTTCCCTATGCATCTAGTGCCAGGACCCATCACCCTCACAAGCTGCCAGTCAGGGAAAGGGATGTGTCCACCTCCCTGCCTGCCCAGGGGGCTATGGGCCTCCACAATCAGCCTTTCTCAGGAGTTCTAGGACTCGCAGGAGAGGACATAACACAGGGAGAGGTGCAGGGACCTGTAGTGACAGGTCACAATGATGAGTTGGCCCCTCCTGAACTTAAGACTCCCACATTTCCCGAGTTTTCTGACAAGTCCAGGTCCCGGTGAAGCCCTCCTCCGGAGTTGGCTTGCCTTCTAGTACTGAGACAGTCCCGTCACTCCACCATGCTGGTACGCCCGCTCCCCTTGGTACGTAGAATCTTGCGATAGCGCCACATCAATCTGGGACTTAAATTCATCACCAAGGTAACTGTCCTGAAAGACACAGTTGGGGAGATGAGCAGCCAGAGAACTGGCACATGTCCTTGCAACTTTGAGAATCTGCTGTGTGTTCAGCCCCTCCCAAGCCCAGAGAAGAGTCTGAAAAAGTAGTCCTGAAACCTGAGCAGCAGGAGACCCACACTGGTTACCTCACCACTGAGGCGGGTGACCTAGGACTGTTTGAAAGGGCAGCATCAGGGACAGAATGTTCTAAACCCACAGCACCACTGCTGAGGGCAGCCACGCAGGAGGCCATCCTCCTGAGTCCTTTGGGGAGTGTGTCAAGGGGTGTCGGTGTCTGTGTGTGTGTGGGGAGGGCACCCTGCGTTGGCCTAACTTCTCTGCAAGTGGATGTATTTCAAGTTCTGTGTAGCCAGCTCACCTGGGACAACTCAGGCTGGGAGAGACCAGGCTGGCTCATCTGGGAGGGCTGGCTCATGGAGATGTAGCCCTGTGTCAGGGCCCCCTGAGAGAAGGGCTGTGATGCCACATCCTGGCTGGCCTGGCTGCTGGGCAGGTTCGTCTGGCTGGGCCCAGGAAGGCCAAAGCGGTTCTTCTGGCGTCCACCACGACCCGTCTTGCCTTTTGGGGTGCCTCGGCCTGAAATACAGCGGCAGGATTCCTTGAAGGAGGTCTAAGCCTAAATGACAAGTGATTCTGCTCCGAGGCCTGGTGCTCGCTCACCTGCAGCTGGCCCATTAGCCTGTCCAAAATACCCTGGTGGTGGCATGGGTGGCATGACCAGGTTGAAGGGGATGGGAATGTTCATGGCGGCCACATGGCTGGGGCCAGCACTGATCATACCGAGCTGGTCGTGGGTCTGGAAGTACATGTTCGAGGGCCGGCCTGTAAGACAGGGTGAATGGCAAGTTCTCCACTGTGTACAGGTGAGTCTGCTGCCTACTTCCAGTCAGCTACTCTGCCTGCAGTGGGATGCCTATCCCATCCTGTCACTGCTCTGCCTGCAGTTTTTAGGGTGTCCCCATGGCAAGAACTGCCTGCTGCAGATTCTCACCATCAATCCCCTTCTCAACCTGCTGGGGGTGGTGCCTGGGAAACCACCTTTTCCCCTAGGGTATTCTGACACAACTATAGGGACCTGACAAACTGAGAACTACCACTCAATATTTCAAATAAAAGTGGTCCTTTCTGTGCCAACACATGTTCATACCACACACACTAAAAAGCAAGAGAATGACTAAGCTCCACAGACCAAAGGCCCCCACGGACTTGAAAACATGGTCTTCTGGGTCAGCCCCTGGGGACTGAGGGAAGAAGCACAGGCCTTGGACACCCTCAGCTACACAGCAACTTGCTGGATGTGGTGATGAGAGGATTGTTGTTAGAGAACACGATCCCCAATTTGAACCCAGAGGCCAGGCAAATACAGGGTCAAAGAAAGGGGGCTGCCGAGAACATGTAAGAGGAGCTGGGGTACACCTGCCCTCAGGATGAATACTGAGCATAGGAGGGAACAAAGCCCACAGTAAAAAACGTGGGCAGGTGGCACTGAAGTGAGTGACAGGGCACTGTGTCACCCTCTGTGCTGATTGGGGTGGGGAAGGGTCCCAGCAGGCAAGAACCTGGGGGATGAAAGAGAACCGTTTACACTGGCTCAGGCAGGAAGAGGTGTTCCCACCAGCAGGGGTCAGACTCAGCGTTGGGACATACAGAGACTCCACTAGGAGATGAGAACATGCTCCCAACTCAGAGCTCTGACAGAGCAAGAGGGGACTTCAGGAAGAGACAAAATCTGAAATGAGGTTGCAGGCCACTTGGAGGAACTGCATGTATGAGTTCCCATTGAAAAGGGGAGCACGGGGTGGGGGTGGGGGGCATGGGGGCAACCCGACAGAACTGTGTTATTTAAAAATATCTTCTTTTTAGAAACTGCCAAAGACCAACACTTTGATCTCAGAGAGGGAAGCTGAGAAGGAACTCGTTGTCAGGCAGGTTTCTGTGGACAGATGCAGTGCAGGCGTGGGAAGGGTCAACATCCTCAGTGCTGGCCCAGGCCCCCACAGAGAGGACTTACCCTGGCTGCTCCGATCATAGACCGATCCTGGGATGATGGCCTCCCGGGCATCATACATGGCTGTGGTCATGAAGCGGGCTCCCTGCAGAGGGTTTGGGTAGGTGAGAAATCCCGCTCCTCTTTCAATAACACAGCCTTTGATGCTCAACATTCCATCTCTGGCTTCCGTTCAAGCAGCCCTGTACCCCTCACCCCCCAAGGCACCCTGGGTTCACAAGGTTTCCTAACTGCCTTTGTCTCACTCCTAGATACCCCCAGGACTTCGCAGCCCGTATAGCCCCAGACCTCAGGACACT